TAAAGAATTACAATAGTCCAGCCTTGAAGTAACAAATGCATGGACTAGTTTCTCAGCATCACCCCTTAATAGGATGACTTCTGATCACCTGGAGAAGAGAGAGTGGGATCTGCATGGATACCATGCGGTAAAAACTTAAAAACCAAAGATTGATTGAAAAAAAAAAAGAAATGATAGATGCACACAGGGGTAAATTCACCTGGTAGATGTAGATGGCCAGCGTAGCACAGTAGGCGAAGCGGTCTCCACTAGCTGCACACACATCTTTGTTCCAAGGCTGACAGCCTGCTGCCAGGAGGCCCACCTGCTTCACCTTGGCCATCCTCACCTACAGAAACCAGCAGAAAAACGGATCAGTAAAGATATGAAAGCATGAATCTGAGTTAATTTCTTGCCCTCTCCGGTTTCAGTTACGCCGGCAGGGTGCGTGCCTCCACCGGCAGAAGAGGTTAAGATGATTAAAGAAGGGATTGAATTAATCTCCGCGGCAGTCGTTGTTGACAGTGTTAAAGGCGCAAAGGATGAGCTGGGAGAGCAACTGTTTTGTAGATAAAGAGGACCTCCTGAGCTTTAATGAGGGCCAATGAGCAGAATCGTCCAATCAGAGGTGATCTTCAAAAGCCCCCGGGCAGTGACCCCTGACCTCGTCTTGTAAGGTGCAAATCGGCGTAATTTACATGTCGATTTCCCTCAGTCTTTCCCTATAAACCGATAATCAGGGAGGATTAATCAGATATGGCGCCCTTTGATGGAGAAACCTTTCAAGTTAATAAAAACAGAACCAGAATAGCTTTAAAAGAGCATTTGACTCAGATCAAATGTATAATATTTTATTTATTTTTTTATTCAACCTGTTTTGGAAACAAACCGAGTCCGGTTTTATTCATATAAACCTGAAATTACCAAACCGGTTCAGGTCCATCAAAGAAAATAAATAAAATCATAAAATTCAGAATAAGAACAAATAAAAAATATTAATACTGGTTCTGATCCGCTGGACTTCAAAGATTCTTTTTGAGATCATCTCAGTGTTCGGCTCACTGAACGAGTCCTTCGGATCATGGACAAAATTTTGATTTAAGAAGTGGGGGGGACCAAGTGTTTTTCAAATTTAACTATTATATATAAGTTAAGCGTGTTTTCTAGTAGTTTGTTCTGTTCTTGTTTCTTCCCAATTTCTCTTGCATCTCTGCTTTCCCGTTCCTGACAAAATATATGAATGCAACAATCCATATAGATCAAAAACACATCGTTTTACAATTATTATAAGCTTGGATATATAAACTCACATTTATAAATTGCATTTTTTTCCCCTTTTTTTAATGATAATAACAATATATGGACCCACCTCGATAATATGTTTTATTTATCAGCAGGTTTAATAAAACAAATATCCTTTACAAGGTTATTGAAAGCTTTAAA